TTTCCTGGAACAAATGCTAACATGCAATAGCACCTGATCATGGAAATCTGCCACACCTGCATAATTCTTCATGCCCTCAGCGTGCCATCTGCACATGCTCTGTGGCCTTGTGCAGTCTGAAGGCCTGTCACCATCTCTTCCTGGGTCGCCTTCTCTGAACCTTGTGGAGGGGATGGAGATAAGTGGATGCCATCCCTGAAGGCTCCGTCATCATCTCCTGTCTCTCAGAAAAAGCTTGTGTGTGTCTGTGTCTGTGTGTGTTGGTGACTGTATGTCTCTCTCTGTGTGTCTTTGTGTGTGTATATGTCTGTGTATGTGTAACTGTGTGCTGGTGTCTGTATGTCTGTGTGTGTGTCTGTATGTCCAACCATTTGTGTGTATGTGTTCACACACACATGTAAAATACCATGCATTACTTCTAATTCTTCCCTTTCTTTTAATCTCAGGGTGAAGGCTTGGTAATAATAGTTTTTGAAGAAAAAAAAAACCCCAAATGAGGAACAGTATCATTAACAAAGCCCTTAACCCAGTTTACCACAGCAATTATCCATAAATATGTGGTATGGGACAACTTTACCCGTTAACTCCTGCTAGTTCCCAAACAACCCTGTCTGCTGAAGGAGAGAGAGCATTCCAGAAAGGCTAAGGCCCAAAGCCCCCCAGCAATTGCTATCCATCACTCCCCCATTCTTGAATTCCGAATAGTTCCTTCCCCTTTATCAGCAACGGGCCAATCTCTACAAAGTCCTAAGTACAACGTAAGTATATAAACCACAGCAGATCAATAGTTTCTTTTCTCAGGTGCTTTTTACTGCTAATCTGGAATTTTGTTATAATTGATCTTTTCTAAAATTTCGTGTAAAGGTATTTAACTTAGTGCCTAATAATATTAAATAGTTGGATTAACTAGAGCTACTGGAGTGTGGCTCAGTGGCACAAGAGTTCTAGAGGAATGAGTTTCAAAACATTCCTGCTGCCTTGGTGTTTCAGCAGTCCGGCTTCTGCTTTCCTTATCACTGAGTCCTGCCATGCGAATTAACAGGCCTGGTCTTCAGTTCTCTGCAATGCGAACTTCTTCTACTAGCCAAATCCTAGGCTCCTCCAGCATGGCATTCTTAGGACAGTACTTTTGGCTGGCAAAAGAAAGATAGAAGGAGGTATACTATGCAGAGCCCCACCATTGCCCAGTGTGAGTAGAAGCCCTCCTTCCAGTGTGTGTGTGTGTGTGTGTGTGTGTGTGTGTGTGTGTGTGTGTGTGTGGGGGGG